CCCCCCCCCGGTATATAAATCTATTTTTGTTGCGCGGGAGATGTTTAATTTTTTATTATTATTATAACGAGGATAATTATTGTCGCCCTGTGCCGTGTTCGTGCCTGTCCGGGGACCCCCCCGGGCCCCCCGTCCGCGCTCGTCCCGCCCCAAACGTGGCCAATAAAGCAGCTTCCAGCGGCTCCGCGACTCCCGGTGGCTTTTTTTGGGGCTGGGGGGGACACCGGGGGGGACACGGGGACAGCGGGGGCGTGGCCCCGTTACTCCATCACCTGTCAATCAACGGGGAATGGGCGGGGCCTGAGACCACGCCTTCCTCAAGCCCCGCCCCCGGTTCGGCTGCAGTTCCGGCGGTGACCGCCAGGAGGAGCGCGGGGCGTGAAACGCGGGGGCGTCTCCCAGTTTAGGGGTTCCCTGCCCAGTTTAGGGTGTCCTTTCCCAGTTTAGGGGGTCCTTTCCCAGTTTGGGGGGGCCCTGCCCAGTCTGGGGAATCCTTTCCCAGTTTGATGTGGGTTCTCTCCCAGTTTAGGGGGTCCCTTCCCAGTCTGGGGAATCCTTTCCCAGTTTGATGTGGGTTCTGTCCCAGTTTAAGGGCTCCTTTCCCAATTTAGGGGGTCCCTGCCCAGTTTAGGGAATCCTTTCCCAGTTTAGGGGGTCCTTTCCCAGTTTGGGAGATCCCTGCCCAGTCTGGGGAATCCTTTCGCAGTTTGATGTGGGTCCTCTCCCAGTTTAGGGGGTCCCTGACCAGTTTAGGGGGTCCGTGCCCAGTTCAGGGGGTCCTTCCCCATTTTGATGTTGGCTCTCTCCCAGTTTAGGGGGTTCTCTCCCAGTTTAGGGGCTCCTTTCCCAGTTTGGGGGGGCCCTGCCCAGTCTGGGGAATCCTTTCCCAGTTTGATGTGGGTTCTGTCCCAGTTTAGGGGTCCCTTCCCAGTTTAGGGAGTCCTTTCCCAGTTTGATGTGGGTTCTCTCCCAGTTTAGGGGCTCCTTTCCCAGTTTGGGAGGTCCCCGCCCAGTTTGGGGGATCCGCTCCCGGTTCGCTGTTGGTTCCCTCCCAGTTTGCGAGGGGTCCTCTCCCAGTTTAGGGGGTCCTTTCCCAGTTCGGGGGTCACTGCGGTGCTGCTGCCCCCCGTGCCAGCTTTGGGGGCTCCCCCCGACCCCCTCACTCCTCCCTTTGGGGGGGTGTGGGGGGGTTTCCTTCCTCCCCCCCCGCCTTGACGTCAGGCTCCCGGTGATTCACCGGGGCTGGCACCGGGCACCGGCCGGGACACGCCACTGTCGCCCCCCTGTCCCCCCGCACGCGCTGCCACCTCCGTCCCCAAGTGTCCCCACGCTGTCCCTCGCTCCCTCCCAGCGCCGGGGTCCCCCCCGTGCGCCCCCCCCCCCGGCGCCCCCCGGTCCCCGCCCGGCGCTGTCGCTTCCGTCGCCGCCGGTCCCTTCCCAGGGCCGGGGGTGACACGGTGACCCCTGGCCCCGCTCCCGCCGCGGTCACTTATTTTTAGCTGTCGCCTCTTCCTGGCCGGATCCCGACTATTTCTGACCCGGGGAGGGGGGACCCACCCAGAGCCCCCCCCGAGTCCCCGTGGGGACACGGGGGTGGCGGTGTCCTCCCTGTCCCCTCCCCCGGGTGTCCCACGGGACCCCTCGCTGTCCCCAGCCCTGTCCCCAAGGACGAGGACACCTCTCCTGGTGCCAATTTACAGCGTCGTTTATACACTGGGGGGGACCGGGGGGGGACACGCCCAGATTTGGGGTGTCCCCAGCCCCGGGAGGGGACAGACCCAAACTCGGGGGTGTCCCCAACCCCTGGAGGTGACAGACCCAAGCTCGGGGGTGTCCCCAACCCCTGGAGGTGACAGACCCAAGCTCGGGGGTGTCCCCAACCCCAGGAGGGGACAGACCCAAGCTCGGGGGTGTCCCCAGCCCCAGGAGGGGACAGACCCCGGGCTGAGAGTGTCCCCAGCCCCAGGAGGGGACAGACCCAAGCTCGGGGGTGTCCCCAACCCCTGGAGGTGACAGACCCAAGCTCGGGGGTGTCCCCAACCCCTGGAGGTGACAGACCCAAGCTCGGGGGTGTCCCCAACCCCTGGAGGTGACAGACCCAAGCTCGGGGGTGTCCCCAGCCCCAGGCGGGGACAGACCCCGGGCTGAGAGTGTCCCCAGCCCCAGGAGGGGACAGACCCAAGCTCGGGGGTGTCCCCAGCCCCTTGGGGACGCGCTGCGGGTTCCGAGGGTGTCGCCGGCCCCGCGGGGGTCCCGGGGGTGTCACGGGGGGGGCCTGGCGGGGCTGCGGCGGGGGAGGCGCAGCCGGGGCAGGTGGAACGGGAGGCAGCGCACGGGGCGCGGCGCCGGCAGCTCCGAGAAGAACGTTCGGTGCCGGGGGGGCCCCGCCTCGGCCTCCGACCCCCCCAGATCCTGCAGCACCCCCAGGATCTCGCGCCGAGGGCCCTGCGCCCGCAGCCCCCGTGCGTCCAGCAGCGCGGCCACGTGTCTCCGCCTGCGGGGACAGCGGGGAGCGGCGGTGAGCGGGGACAGAACCCCCCGGACCCCCGGCTGCGGCTCCGGGGAGGGCCCCGCGGTTCACACGGTCCCAGTTCCCACCGGTTTAACCGCTGTCCCCCCCGCCCCGCCCCGTCCCGGGGTGGCCGCGCGTGCCACCGGTCCCCCGGGACCGGGACCGGGACAGGGGAGGGGACCTGGCGCGGGGCCGCGGCCGCTTCCCGGCGGGAGGAGCGGGGCGGGGGCTGCCGGGAAGGGCCGGAGGCCACGTCCGGTCACCCCGCTCGGTCCCCGCGGGCTCGCCGCGTCCTGTCCGCGGCCATCACCGGCAGAGCGTCCCTCCCGCCTGGGTCACTCCCGCTTTGTGTCACCCCCGCGGGGTCCCCGCACCCACCGCACGTCGGGGAAGTCCCTGGCCAGGGCGCCGACCTCCATCTGCAGCGCGGCCGTGTCCTCCAGCACCAGCAGCTCCCGCAGCCGCGGCACCACCGAGTCCAGCCAGGGCGACGCCGAGTCCTGGCGGGGAGCCGTAGGGGGGGTGACACGCTGGGGACAGCTCAACACCCCTCCACGGCCGCCGGGACCGCGGGTGCCACCCAAGCCGAGCCGGGGAGGAGGGGTCCCGGGGGTCTCACCAGGCGCGTGAAGAGCTCGCGGAGCTGCCGGGCCTCGTCGCCCAGGCGGGCGGCCACGCGGGAGCGCGCCTTGGCCGAGGCGCACACCAGGCGCCCCTGCAGCAGCGGCCGCACGTACTCGATGAGCACCCGGCGGTGCAGCTCGCTGACCAGCACCTGGCACCGCGGCGACACCCCAAAAATGTCCCCTCAGCGTCACACGAGCCGTCACCCGACAGCGGCACCGCGTCCCGCGTGTCCCCCCGCGCGTGTCCCCCGTGTATCCCCCCGCGTGTCCCCCGCCTGTTCCCCGCCTGTCCCCACGCGTGTCCCCCGCCTGTCCCCACGCGTGTCCCCCGTGTGTCCTCCCGTGTGTCCCCCCGTGTGTCCCCCCGCCTGTCCCCCGCCTGTCCCCCCGCCTGTCCCCCGTGTATCCCCCCGCGCGTCCCCCGCCTGTCCCCCGCGTGTTCCCCGCGTGTCCCCACGCGTGTCCCGCACACCTGGTGGGGCTCGGGGTGCAGCGGGCGCAGCGTCTGCGCGAAGCCGGTGATGAGCATCACGATGGAGTCGAAGGCGTCCGAGCTCGTCAGCCACTTGCGCTTCATCAGCTTCCCGAAATGGGGCTGGGGGCGGCAGGGGCGTCACCCGCGGTGACCCGCGGTCACCGGGAGGGGACCCTGGGGACACCGGGATGGGACCCTGGGGACACCGGGGACACCGGGATGGGACCCTGGGGACACCGGGATGGGACCCTGGGGACAACCGGGGACACCGGGATGGGACCCTGGGGACACCGGGATGGGACCCTGGGGACACCGGGGACACCGGGATGGGACCCTGGGGACACCGGGATGGGACCCTGGGGACACCAGGGACACCGGGAGGGGAACCCGGGGACACCAGGAACACCGGGAGAGGACCCTGGGGACACCGGGAGGGGACCCTGGGGACACCGGGGACACCTGGCCGCCCGGTCCCCGGGGGTGTCACCCAGCGAAGGTCCTCGTCACGCCACCACCCGCCCTCGGGACACCTTGAGGTCCTCGAAGAGGCGGCGGCTGAGGACGTGGCCGCAGGCGCGGGTGACCCGGTCCAGCGCGGCGTGGGCCTGGCGCCGCGGCTCCTCGCTCTCGGGGTGCCCGAACTGCGCCAGGCGCTCGGCGAACGCCCTGCCCGAGGGGACAGCGAGGGGGGGTCAGGGCTCCGCGGGGACCCCGGCGACGCGGGGACACCCCGGGCTGGCCTCACCTGAACGGGGGGCAGCAGTTGGCCAAGGCGATGGCACGGCCGGGGGAGCCGTCGGGTGGGGGGAGCTCGCCGGGGGCTTCCAGGAAGCGCTCGACCTTCCGCTGGAAGCTGAGGACAGCTCCGGTCACCGCGGTGACACCCGGGGGACACGGGGGGGGGACACGGCTCCTGTGCCACCGCAGCTCCGCCCCGTGTGTTCCCGTGTCCCCACGGCCCTGTGCTGTGTCACAGCCCGGTGTCCCCGCGGGTCCCCACCTGTGCAGGAAGGCCACCAGCACGCCCAGCAGGCTGTGGGCCATCTCCCGCCCGAACTCGGGGGTCACCTGGGGGGCTCGGTCCACGTGCGCCCGCAGCAGCTGTGGGGACACGGCCACCGCGGGCGTGGGGACGCGGCCACCGCGGGTGTGGGGACACGGCCACCGCGGGCGTGGGGACACGGCCACCGCCGCAGCATCCCCTGAGCCGCCGCTGGCCCTCGGGGCCACCCCGGGGGACAGGGAAAGGTCTGAGGGTGCCGTACCCCGGTGACACGAGTGGCCAGTCCCTCCTCCATGTCCTGGCTGGTGACATCCTCGGGCCACGTGTCCTCGCTGAGCTGCAGCTCCTGCGCCACGGCCACCTCCACCTTGGCCTGGCACGGCGTGGGGACATCGCGCGGGTGTGGGGACACCGGGAGCGGGCAGCCCCCCGCAGCCCCCCGCCCCGGGACCGTCCTGGGCAGCAGTGCCAGTCCCGGTGCCACCCCGGTGTCCCCAGCCCGGTGTCCCCGGTGCCCACCTTGACGGCAGCGATGCAGGAGCTCTCGAGGTCGCGCTGGGTCTCCGGGGGCAGGAGGGGCCCCAGCTCCTGTGTCCGCAGCAGAGCCCCCACCTCGGGGTGCCCCAAAACCTCCCTGGGGGGGGGGACAGCCCCGGTGGGTGTCGGGGGGACACGAGGGGACACGGGGGGACACGGGGGGATAGCCCCGGTGGGTGTCAGGGGGACACGGGGGGACACGAGGGCACACGGGGTGCCCGGTGGGGGGCAGATGTTGGGGGTCCCACGGGTGTCGCGGGGCTCTGGGTGGGGGTCCCACAGGTGCCACGAGGAGCTTGGGGGTCCCCTGGGTGTCCCAGGTGTGCTCAGGGGCGTCTGCGGCCATCTCGGGGGTCCCCGCAGGGGTCTCACCTGGGGTAGGCGTTGCTGTGCCAGTCGAGCAGCAGGTACAGGTCGGGCACGGCCAGGGGTCTCTGGGCCAGCGCCCGCAGCTGCTGGGCCAGCGCCCGGTGGTAGCCGCGGGCGTAGACCCCGAGCGCTCCGTACTCGGGGGGGTACGCGGGGGCCACGTGGCTCCGCACGACCCCCAGGTCCCCCACCACCCTGGCGGCCAGCGCGGCCAGCCGGGCCCCCAGCCCGCCCGCCGGGGCCACCTGCGCCAGCCGCTCGCTCGCCGCCCGGGCCACCGCCTCGTGCCAGCGGCGCCGCAGCCCCCGCGGCCGCCCCGGGACCGTCCCGGGGGGGCTCCGAGCGTCCGCCGCCTCCTCCTGCTCCAGCACGGCCACCACCGCCCGCAGCGGGGCCACCGCTCGCCCCGCGGCCACCGCCTCGGCCACCACGGCCCAGAGCTGCGCCAGCAGCGCCCGGTACAGCAGCGCCACGTCCCGCGCCCGCCGCCCGCCCGCGGGGCCCGGCGACGGCGGCGGGGAGCCCGCGGAGGGGGACACCGGGGGACACGGGGACGGCGGCCGCGACGGGGCCAGCGCGCACTCGGCCTCCAGCGCGATGATCTGAGCGTCCGCCGCCACCAGGTCCCGGCGCTGGATCAGCTCCAGGATCTCCAGCACTGCGGGGACACCGGGGGGACGCGTGGGGTCCGTGTCCCCGTGTCCCCCTGACCCCGCGTCCCCCGTCCTCCTGTCTCTGTCCCCCTGTCCCCCTGTCTCTGTCCCCGTGTCCCCGTGTCCCCGTGTCTCTGTCCCCCTGTCTGTCCCTCTGTCCTCCTGTCCCCCGTCCCCGTGTCTCTGTCCCCCTGTCCCCGTCTCTGTCCCCTTGTCCCCCTGTCT